TTTTTTTTTTTTTTTTTTTTTTTTTTTTTTTTTTTTTCCCTTTTTTTGGCTTTACAATATTTTTTTTTTTTTTTTTTTTCTTGTGCGTATGGCAAAAAAAAGCTAGCGTCAAGCCCAGTGGTTGAGGCGCTCTGCAGGGGGGCGGGAAAAGTTGCCTTTGTTCCCAACAAGTTATTTTATCGCTAAGGGCCGGCGGCTGAAGAGAGAACGGGTCGGCGCGCGAGCGCCCCGGGCGCAGCCTTCCACCCTCGCCGCGTCGCCGTGCCGCTCGCACTACGGGAGGCAGGGGCCTCGCCGCCCCGCGGCTCTTCCAGGCGGCGCGGGCTGTGAGCGCGATAGCGCGCCCCTCCGCTCTCCGAGGCGGCAGGGCCCGCCTTCGGTCGGCGCGGCGCTCCGGGCGAGGAGGGGCAGCCCGGAGCTCCTCGAGCCCCGGTCTCCCCCTCGGCCGGAGCCGCGCGGGGACGCCTTCCGCCGGTCCCCTCCGCCGGTTGCCATGGTGTCGCGGCCCGGCGTGCTGTGGGCGGTGGCCGCGGCGGCGCTGGCTCTGGCGGGCCGGCGGGCGCTGCCGGCGCCGGTGGTCCGCTGCGAGCCCTGCGACTCGCGGGCGCTGCAGCAGTGCAAGCCGCTGCGGCCCGACTGCGCCGAGCGAGTGCGGGAGCCGGGATGCGGCTGCTGCCTCACCTGCGCCCTGCGCCTGGGGCAGCCCTGCGGTATCTACACTGAGCGCTGCGGCGCCGGCCTCTACTGCCGGCCGCGGCGAGAGGAGGCGCGGCCGCTGCAGGCTCTGCTGGAGGGCCGCGGTCTGTGCACCAACGGCACGGCGGGCGACGAGCTGCGGGCCTTCCTGCCGCCGGCACCGCACGCTGCAGGTAAGGGGCTGCTGCTCCGGGCGGGGGCGAGGAAGAACGCCGAGGCTGCGTGCGTGCGTCTGCGGCGTCTCGATTGGTTCGCCATAGTTCTTTTTTAAGTTCGAAAGTCAGGCACGTACACGAGAAGGGTCGGGCGGCGGGGGAAGGCGAGGCCGGCGCCGTCTGCTGTTTCAGCGGTTCTCGGTGGCCGGGCCGGCGTGGCACGAGCCGTTTGGTTTTTGTCCCGAAGTTACTTGTTTTCTTAGCTTTTAAGTAGCTCTTCAAAAAAGAAGCGAAGTTGCTCTTCTTAAGCGTAAGGGGAAGGAAGGAGGTGTGCGCTGCCCGCCTGGCTGTGTGAGGCTATCAGGCTGAAGGACCTTCGTACAGAGCTGAAATCCTTGTGATTTGTCACTGGTGTTCCTGGAAAGAGGGTGCGAAAACACTGCAGAGTGTGGGCTGACTCCTGCAGCGTGGCGAACTCGGGGGAACGCTAAGCCTGGGAATAAAATAATGTAGAAAAGAGAACAAGAACGTAGTGAAGTATTTCCCTGAGCCATGGAGGCCGTTATTAAGAACGAAGCATTCTCATAGCGGTGAGAGGACGCTGCTTTTCTCTGAATTGCAAATAAGTCTTTGGTCAAACAAAGCTGTCCCGTGCTTCTTGCAAATGAGACGTTCACAGAGCAGGTTCTGTTTGGCTTGAAGAGGAAGAGACGGTTGGAAAAAGTTCTGTTAACGTGCATATTTAGAAACTTAAGAGACAGGAAGACCTGGGTTTCAGATCAAGAAGGCACAGTCCCTCTCTGCAAGTATTTCATTAAACTGTTTGCTAACCAACAGCAAGTATGTTAATATTTATTTAATAGAAAAAGTGTGTCAGAAGTCTTTCCACCGTTTGCCCTTTTTAAAAACTAGGGGTTTTTCTGCTAGGTTACAGGAACTCTTTGACTGGCCTTTCCTTAGCTGAGGAAGTGGCACTGGTGTTTCGGTTAAAAACTGGCTGCTATGAGAGTAAGACATGTATTATTATGATTGCTTATGTGCCTCTGCCAAACTGTGATGCTTTGAGCAAGAGTTCAGAGGTGCTTACTGAAGTTCTAAATATCATGGGAGTGTGGAGCAGCTGCCTTCGTCACATGAATGTTTTGACTCTTCATTCTTCACGTGATTTGACAACAGTGGGTTGTCACTACTCCTCAGTACTTGGAACCTGGTGCTGTTTAGTGCAGGGCAGTTCAACAACCTAGAGGAAAGGGGAAAGAGGCCTGGTGAAAATACTTCCTTTTTTAATATGAAGTAGGCAGAATGTTGAATTCCTGTTTTGCATTCTTGGCATACAGAAACGTCTTGTTTTGATTCCTTAAGAAGTGGGAAGTAGATCCCATACAGTTTACATTCAAGGCATGCCGATGGAAAACTCTATGCAAGAAGGAAGCTGAATCTGTATGATGATATCACACACTGTGTCCACCTCGTTGTGGGTGCTGTTCCAATTTCATTGATAAATCCACTGCTAGGGAATTAAGATTCTGAGGTGGTACCCTCTGTCCTGGAGCAGGATCACATCTTACATCTTCTCTGTTATGCATGGCTAGGCCCTGCATTAAGTGCTATGCTTTGATTGGTAGTAGTGATTGCTAGAATTCTGTGGCTGGTGTGTGTTGTAGGAACTTCTTAACACCATCTAAAGTAGGCTACTGCTTTTACAGTTCAGATTTTGGAGCACTAAAGCGATAATTAGTAATGCTTATATGCAAACATTCTAGTCTCTTTTTGAAAGAAAGGAAGTAACTTGAGTAACTGTTTTGTTTCCACTACGCAGGGTGTAGAGGTGATGTGGAACAAGGTCGTGTAGAATAGAGTTAATTGAATACACTGTACAGTTTAAAAAGTGGAATTACGGCTGTTCTAAACTTAAGTGTAAGAAATACCATGATGGTCTGTTGAAACTGTGTGGATAGCCTGGTGGCTATTTGATGTGCAGTAATATAATTTTTTATATAGCTGGTAAACTAATATCTGAATGTAGAAAACCTATTGGGCGTAATATTTATATGTAGAAGATCTGAATTTATAACATTGTTGTGTCACTTACTGCAGACTTCACTGAGAATGTGGAAAAAAAATTCATTTCAAGAAAGAGACATTCCACTGCCAGAAGTGAGTTCAGATAGTGCTGAGAGTATGATTTAACCATTGCTAGCTAGGAAATCTTATGTTTAAGACTTGAACTTCCTTTCCATTTGTTCTAGGAGCTGGATTTTCTCAGTCAGTTACGTCTTTTGCTGTCAGTGGCTACATTAAAACCCCCAGTACCAAGATGTTGACTATGATCGCTCCTGCTTGTTTTCCTCCCTGATTCTTGGGTATTGCCAGTTGAACAATACATTAGCACTGGATTTCTTGGTTTGTCTGGTTTTCCAATGAGCCAAGTATAATTTTAATATAGGTATTCAGGATGTTTCTTGTGCATCACTTATTATTGTGCAACCCCAATATGATTTCTTTCTTCTTATCGTAGCTGACAAGTATCCATTCTGTAGAGGAAATAGAGCCTTTTACAGTTACATTGCAAGAGCCTTAAAAGAGAGAAATGCAGTGTAGGCAAATAACTTTATGAGGTACAGGAACGCTGAGCTTATGCAGTATTCTGGAATAATGCATTTCTCCTCTAGCTCCATGGATGATAAAACTATCATCCAAGAAAAAATATTTTTGAGGCCTGTATTGAAAGTAGATGTTTATCCTGGTATCTTACTACAGAATGAATGGCTTTTTTTTTTTTCTTGCCCTTGACCCTTAAAAGTATACTTAGTACATCATGAGATATTTTCATTCCTCTGTTATTAAAATCAGAAACACTTTTTCTCCTGTACTGTATGTGGACTAAAGCAAAGAGAAAAATGGCATTAAAATGATTAACTAGTACTGTCATGGTCAGCATGGTAGAAACTTTGCAGTGAAGATTTTCTTTTTGTTATTCTACCAGGGGAGATCATTAGTTGCTCTCTATCTAGTAAGTTTCCCAAGTTAGATATATTTAAAGTTGTTTAAATCTGCTCTGGATCAGAAGTAGATGATTTGAGCGCTCTACATGTCCCTTGTTGGTTGGGCTGCTAACAGCTCTGACTCAGGGCCAAGTGCTGGCAGCAGTCTGCATGTGGCAGACCTTCCTCCTGCCAGGAAAGGAAATCAGTGAAGAATAAGGACTGAGAAACCTCAGCAGTAGTGGTTTGCAAATAGTTAGAAGTGAAGTGAATATAAATAGTTCTCAAGCGATTAAGAATGCAGCATGTTTTTTAGAGGCATCCAGCACAGGTGTCGGAATGATGTAGTGCCAGGAGGGAAGCCTTTAGTTAGAAAATTCATCACAGTTCTTTACAGTTAGCAGTGGAGATGCTAATGCTTACAGAATATTGAATTGTTTGGTGTTACAAACATTTTTATAAAGAAAAACTAAAATTGTAGATGGTTTCAGTGGTCTGTTGTCCTTCCAGACTCAGCTGATAGTCAATTAACTTTTTCTTCACTGAATTTGTTCTTTTCAAAGGAAATTCTGGTGATTCAGAAGAAGACAGGAGTACCAGTAGCTTAGAAAATCAGGCCATCCCAAACTTGCACAGAGTGCCAGATTCAAATTTGCCTCCACAGCACATCAGAATAGATATCATCAGAAAAGAACAAGCCAAAAATACACAGCGCTATAAAGTGGAGTATGATTCACAGAGTACAGATACACTGAATTTCTCTTCGGAATCCAAGCAAGAAACTGAATATGTAAGTAAATTCTGTAAGTGGAAAGACATTTTCCTACTTCCGAACATGTACCTGTGTGACTGTATCTGCATGTTGTGTTTTAACAAAGTAAACAAGAAAAGTAACCAAAATGGTTATATTTGTTGTACTCATCTAAAGCATTCTGACTGTTTTGCAATACAGCTGTTCAGTCTGCAAATGCAGACAAGCAGCTGACCAAACAGATTATATTCAGAAGACAAAGAGGCCTAATGCACTGGTGTTTACATTGATATGAATATGTTTTTCACAAAATAAGTTCTTAGTGAAAGTGCTTGTTTCCACCTGTTTCTGTCAATGGATTCAAGATAGGTTTAATAGTGTCACTGTTTGATTAATATGGTTGCAAAAAGCATTATTGGGGGTTTTAATAATGGAAAAAAGGAAGACATTGCAAATTCAGTCTCATGATGTTTTGTTTGCACTCTGTGGAGCATTAGTGTAGTTTGAAGGACATGGTTGTCCAACCTTTTGAGTTGGCTGGGATGCATTGAGCAAAGAGGAATTGCTTTGGGCTGCACATAGAGTATGTAATAAATTTATGTAAGTTACAAAGCTTATGTGTTAATTAAAAAAGCATAAAAATAAAAAATAAAAAACAGAGCAACGAAGACCTCAAACTAGCAGGGTGTTTGATCATGTTTTTGTGAAACCGGTGCATCAGGCTGGTTTGATGGCAGTGGTTGCCATTCCTAGTGAATTTTCTAAGTGTTCATCAGATTTTTGATGCAATATTACTCTTCCTGTGCTTCATTTTTGACAGTAATTTTTCACTAATGTACATACTGCCAAAAAGTGATGACATGAATAAGGCATGACTGTGAAGTGAGGGGTATTTTTCTCTAGTAAGGCAGGGCTTATGAGAATCTGGTAAAGAGTTGAATGTCTGATTGCAACTCTATCCATTACTGTCAAATATTCCCATGGAATGTATTTACATTGACTGAAAATGGAGTTGGAAAATCAGAAAAAAAATTTGAGAGTTCATCAAATGCAGTAATTATTTTTATAAGCCCCTCTTTTTTACCAACCTTCATGGGGCATCATTTGATGCTATACCAGTGGTGCTGACAAAAGTCAAGGAAAATGGCTTTACTGCTTCATATAAACCAGGAGACTTTGTTGTGTCTTCCAGTGGCGCCAGAGAAACTATTTCTTCAGTGACATTACATTTGCTCTCAGTACCTATAATGAAAATGGCAAGTTGAGCCGTATCTGTAGCATCAGTACTTTCCTATGTTGCCAAAGCATAAAATTTGAAAAGCAGCTTTACTTTCCAAATTTCTTTCAGTAGGTAGTTCCTTTTTCTTCAGTTCACTTGGCTACTTTGTCTGATAAGACAAACTGATTTTGGAAAAATCTGTTTTTCTGTATGTATAATATCCCTATATTGCTTAACAAACTCACCATCAGGAAATAGGTTTTTTTGTTTGTTTGTTTTTGTTTTTTTTTGCCGACAGATATGCTACCATGTAACTAGTTTTTATAATGGAGTCCATTTGAGTTTTAACTTCTTTAAAAAACTTTCACTGAAATGATACTTTTTTCAGTTCTGCTTTTTTTTTTTTCTTTATGAAGCATTCAATAATCAGATGACTGGAGGACCTCCCATAGGGGGGCAGGTGAGAAAACTGGGATGTTCCAGCCTGGAGAAGAGAAGGCTCTGCAGGAACCTCGTTGTGGTCTTCCAGTACCTGCAGGGGGCCTGCAGGAAGGCTGGGCAGGGACTCTTTACAAGCAAATGTAGCAGCAGAATGAGGGATAATGGTTTTAAACTGAAAGGGTACATTTAGACTAGCTAGTAAGAAGAAATTATTTACTGTGAGGATGGTGAGACCATGGAACAGTTGCCCAGAGAGGTTATGGGCACCCTGGAGGCATTAAAGGCCGGGCTGGATGGGGTTTTGAGGACCTGGACTAGTGGGAGGTTTCTCTGCCTATGGCAGGAGGGTTGAAAATAGATGATCCTTTAAAGATTCCTTCCAACCCAAAACATTCTACAATTCCTTGATATGCGTTGAATTTGGCAGTGTTTCTGCATTCAGTGTCTTTTTAAATTTTAATCTTTGAAGACTGACATTTCCATGCAAATCAAGTGTAGTGCCATATTATTTGTCAGCACTGCACTGTGCCCTCCTCGTGTCCTGGGGCTGCATGGGGCAGAGCTGCTGCCGTGATGGTGCAGTAGCAGGGAGTGTGGGCTGCACTGAGCAGTGCTGAGCTGCGTGCAGCTTGTGGGCAGTGAGTTGGATGTGCCTGGATTAGGGTCTTGAGTGAACAGGCATTCACTGCATGTCATGTTGAACACCACCTCCACTTGCAGTTATCATTTAGTGCCAATACATGCACATAATGGCACAGAGGTAAGGAATATACCCAAAGAGAATGGGCAGCCAGAGTATTGTGAATCTGAAGGGGCATTAATTAGAATTCAAAGACTTCTTGGCTGCTAGCTTTGTATACTCAAACCTGTGCCACACAACTTAAAAGTATGAATTGTTACACCTTGACATCTCAACAAAACAGTTGTGTTGAAACCAGACATAGCTTCACACCTGCAGGAGATTTTTGAAACCTTTGGAACATTTTGTCTGAAGAGTGTGGCCTCCCAAGATAACACAGGAGAGCTGTTTAAACTGTGTTGGTTTTGTTGCTGATGACAAACTATCCAGTAAAAGCACTTATATATCCAGGTTTTAGTATGTCCTCTTCCCAAAAATTTGAAATAGTAAACCTCTTCTAGTAAGAGTGAGCTTTTTTTTATGTTTGAGGAAATAGGACCCTACTAGGACCCTAACTAATTCACCTTTATGTAGGATAAATGTTTTATTTAGCTGGTGGGTGGTCTCTGTGTGACTTACCAAAGCTACTCATATCTGCAGGGACCAGAACTAGGTCCATCTGAGTCAGGTACTTCAGCAAGTAAATGACTTTCTACCTAAGTCTATGTGCTAGCTTTTGATATTCATTTCTTTGACTTGTGAGGCCTCCTTCAAAGTAATGGTTAAAAAAAAGCTGTTGCTCATTGTGTAGGCTCAACTCAATCCCTAATCATTCAGTGTGTGATCTGCAGTCACTGTGTCTGAATATTTTTGCTTGCTGCCGATAAAAGCAGCAATTTAAATCGCTTGTCTAGAACTTAGGAGGATTGATACTGAAAGAAAGCAGCAAGGAAGACTTTGTTACAATAAAAAAACAGTTTTAAACTGCAGCAGAACAGTGGAGTCTATACATTTTCAGACATGTGAAAGGCACTTATGGGTGAACTTGTGACATTACTACTTGAAAATATAAATGTCATTACTTCACTAATTAATAACTTCACCAATGGGTCTTTGTGTTGATACAGCAGCTTAAACGTATGTAATTTGTGTTAAGAATTCTTGGTCTCCACTGAAGAATCAGGTTGGTGGACTAAGTCAGTAATGTGCTCAGGGAGGAGTGTGGCTAAAGAGTATGCGGGATGTGATTCTTGAATTCTCTTCCTGCTGCTAATGCTGACTGCTTTCCTAGTAAAATTTTAACTCTTCTTTTCCTAGTTTTCTGACTGCAAAATGGGGCTGGTAACACTTTACACTCTATTTTGGGCTTCGGTTGAGGTTTGAGACATGTTTTAAGAAACGATTCTGGAAGTTCTTATCTCATTGCCATAGAGCTAATCCACACTATGTTATTGTCTTTGTTTTACAGATAAGCTAGTCCAAAAAGTTACGTACTTACACGATGAAAATGTCATGTGCAACCATTCATTTGTATGACCACATTTATTTGCATGATTGCATCCGTTTGGTTCAGCTGAAATTTGGAGTTGTTATCCAAAGTTGCAGTATATTTATAAACACATGTATAGCATGCCAAACTACTTACTTTCAATTTAGTATGTTTTATTCAATCCTTTAAATTCAGAAGAATTACAGAAATCAAGTGGCACTAGGGAAGATTTGCCAAGTGTTGTATTTCCAATTGCTTATGTTCTTCTTTTCCTGCTTGATGAAGATCTGTTGTTTCCTGACTTAAGTTGTGTTACATATGACTGACTGACATACAAGCTGTCTTTTACATATATATGTGGGTGTGATTTCAGCTGGAAATGCCACTGTGTGTGAGCGTGTTATGTGGCCTTCAGTGTTCAGAGGATATCAGAAATTAGTAACTATGCTTTATCCTGAATAAAGCATAGTGTCAGAACTTTTATCTGTGAATGGTTTGCTTTTTGGCATTTCCTTTGTTTTAATGAATTTGTTCGGTTTAACACATCTTAATCCTTTGAGGTTTTAAGTCTTGTGTGAAAGACAGCATTTGGGAATAAAGTTTCATCTGTGTTTTTTAAAACATGCTCGTTGACAGGGTCCCTGTCGTAGAGAAATGGAAGACACTTTAAACCACCTGAAGATCCTGAATGTCTTGAGTCCCAGAGGTTTCCATATTCCAAATTGTGACAAGAAGGGATTCTACAAGAAAAAGCAAGTAAGTACAGTGTCTTGATTGTTTCAGTAAATACATTTCACTTTTTCTGCATTGTTCTGAGCCTTCTGCTCTTGCCAGGAAGGTGTGTTATGTATCATTTTACAGAGGAGCTGTTTTAATTCAAATTATAGGTTCTGATGTGATATTGTTGAACCTTGTTAAGTGGGGATAGTGTTTTTATTTTCTGTTGTTCATAACAGCAGATTAATTTGAGCAACTTTTTGCCTAATCACACATGGGTTGACCGTTGTCCTAGATACTAATGCCCTTCAGTTTAAAAAAAAAAAAAAAAAAAAAAAAAAAAGGAAAGCAGTGGCTCTGTAATAACCCACGGAGCTAAATGTTGCAGTCACCATATGACTGCAATAGATCAATGCTTTGAATTGTAAATAGCTGCTTGAAAGTTCCTAGAAGAACTACACTGGGTTGTATTACAAAAAGCAATTTGAGAAAGACATGTGTCTGTCCTTTATGTGCTACACAGATCACTTCCAAAATCCAGGTCATGTTATCATGATACATTTAGTAGTTGCTGTGCAGCAAAGATGGCCCTCCTTGGTTCTCCATTTACATTTGACTTCAAGGTTGTGAACCTTTCTCACAAATGCAGACCTAAGCTGCAGGTATTCATGCTTTATTTGTACTGCAGCAGTGTTCTCCATCCAGGGCTGCCCTTACAGCTCATTCAAGAGCTTTCAGAAGTGCGAGACACAACAGACTGTTTGCTTTGTGTGCACATCTAATTCTGCCATTTAGTTAGTGACCTGTCTCTGTATGTCCTGATATAATTCCAGAATTTCCTGGTCTCAAAAGATGCAACATTTTCCTGATGGCAAGCCTCTGTTGTAACTACAGATTTTGTGAACTATTTTGTCTCTCCCATTTGTGTTTACACAAGTCAGCCTCTTTAGCTGTGTTAACCAAAGGTGGCTAAGTGTGTTAATGTCTGACGCAGTTTCTAAGCGGGAAGTGATAGGCCAACCTCAGAGCACACCACATCATTTTAGGAGTGGTATCTCCTCATTGTTTGTCTTCTAGCTTTCTTAGAAACAGTATTAGGCTTTCAGATGTTTCATGAAGCTCTGCAATTAGCTTGCAGTGTCAGTTGGGCTTTTTGAAATAGGGATGAGTTTACCTTCTGCCATTAGTCCAACAATGGACTGTGTTGTATAACCTTGGCTGTGTGTTGCTGAGCTTATACACACTCCCAAGCTTTTTCCAGAGCTGGTGGAAATAACTCCCATGCAGGGAGAATATGATTCTGAAGTTTTGAGAGCCCACTGTCAGTTCATGTCTCATTGCCTGTAAATTAACAGATAGCAGTGCTCAATTCACAGTCTGCATTTGTTCAGGAAATTCCACGGACTGCTATGTGAGCTTCTCTGTGGAGCAAGGATAGAACTGTGTTGCTGCTGTGCCATAAATGCATATGCTTAGCTACTTCAGAGCAGCATGTCACTTAACTGCATTGAAGACATGTAAGTGTATCGTAGTCCTTATTCTTCTCTGGGTATTACAGAAGACCACAGATTGGTATTTACTTCGTTCAGGAGATAGTTTTAGTTCTATCACCAAAAGGTGGTGGCTTGCATATTTATTCTGGTGTGCACGTATAGTAGATCAGATTCACAGGAAGCACATACTCAAGTGCCTTAGTGCTCAGTCATGGCTCTGCCACTGAGGCAGAAAATGAATTGAATTAGGAGGGAGGAGGGCGGGAGAGGGGAGAGGAAATGGAAAAAGAAAATGTAAATACACTTTTCTAGTCTTTTATCCTAGAAGTTCATTTACCTAGGGTGAGGTGCTGGTGTGGAGCAAAGAGACTTCTGTGCTGTGTGTAGTCTCCATGCTATCTGGGGTGCCACATAGGTTTAGAAAAGGTTCTTGCAACAGCTGAGGTCAGCAAATAGAAATCTTGAAGGGGTACTTTCATACACTGGCTGTGCCAATCTGTACAAATCTCTGTAGTTGCATGGTAGTTTGAGAGCACAGAATCTTGTAAGAAATGTCTGCAAATGGGGCCAGTGTGAGTAAATACGTATAACAGTTTGAATGTTCCTACTCTAAAAGAATTGCGATCAACCACTGGCATAGGCCTTCACAACTAGTGCTGACAGGAGCAGACTGCTTCTCTCATGAACAAAATGTAAAAGAATAATAATGTATTTTAGGTACCCTTGATAAGTTAACTCCTGGGAAAGAAACATCAGATGGAGTAAGAAGTGAGTTCTGGCCACACTGAATTCACTCTCTCCAAAACAGTACAGCAGTTTTATTTGTTTTTTCTTTATGGAGCCTCAAAACTTAGGCATGATGTCTTTGGGAACCACAAGCAGATATCTAACCTGATTAAGCGAACACTAGACTATTTTGTTAATTTTTTTACATTGCTACTATTAGCAGCATTCAGTCCATAATTCACTTTATATTTTGTTCCAACAACAAAATTTAGAATAGTTTGTTAGGAAATAGATAGTAAATCCATCACAAAAGGAGTGTGGATTGAGCATTTTTAATTCTAGAAATGACTGATGAAACTACTGCTTAGGGTATTTGTATATATATATATATATGTGTGTGTGTGTGTGTGTGTGTGTGTGTGTGTGTGTGTGTGTGATGAGGTGGTAGAAATGTGTTAAAAAAATGCCTCCTGAATGAAATTTTATTATCATAATTTATGTTGGTAATTTTTCTTTCCTGGTCACTTGCTCTTGCAGTCAAGTTGAAAGCAATTACTTTTCTTGACATTTGTTGATGTGTAGGGACGGACTTTTCAGGAATAACCATAGGAAGTAATTATCAACAATTTCAAGGGTCTTATTTAATCTGTCATGTAACAAAAATTATTCTAGACCTTGTTTTATATATAAACTTTTTTTAAAAAAAATCAAGCATATTTAATATCTTAATAAATCACACATGTAAGCCTGCACTATTCAAGTATGGTATCTAGCTGTGTTTACATAGATTAGGTTAACATGGGTACGTTTCTGCTTTGATACTAGAATTATTGTCCCATATTTGTGTACCAGATAGAGATATTCACCTAAATGTGAGCTGGAATTGTTCCACTGAAAGCTGAGCTGGTCTTGCCAGGTGCCAGCACAGCCTGAGGTGTAAGTCAAGGCTGTCTGTGCTGTTTCAGGAGACCACAGTTGTATCTCTACGGAGGCCTCTGGGCTGATCAGGATTCCACTGGGATACCATATGTTCTGGTGTGCCCCACTACTGCTTCTGTGGTATGTCTTTGTGGAGAGCAGGGAGGCAGGTGGCATGAAGCTGGCAGCTGGTGCTGCTATTGGAAGTAACTATTGACTCCACTGCTTGGGCAGTTTTCCAGCTTTTTTAAACTTCCGAAGTCATGCAGAAGGCAGAGCTGAGAAATGTATGTGGAGTACAAAATGTATGCTTACTTCATACAAATTGTGTACCATTTCAGTGGGGAATGCTAGCAAGCTTTCTTGGTAAACATTGCATTGGAATCTGAAATGCTTTTCTTTTGACAGTATTGTTGAGCAAATAGTATAAAGTCATGGGACTGCTGAAGGTCCTTATTTTTTCCTCACAGTGTTATTTCAACTATGAATCTCACTCAATGTATGGTTTTCATTTTCAAGTTGCTGTTATTAATTTTACAAATTGAGTATGCAGCTGTAAAAAGCAATCCGGACCCCCAACAATGTGAGATAACTTCAACTTATTTGTTTTGACAGTGACATAAGGCTATGAATCAGTTGAGAGTTGTGTAATATACTTCACGTAATACTTCTAAAAGGGGGCGGCTGCATTGCTGTTATTAGTGGAAGTTTAGTTTAACTGCCAGAGAAACAGATCAACAGCAAGACATTAGCACTCTAAATTGGGCTCCATCTATGCCTGCACTCTTGATAAAAACAACTACAGAATTGCTGTCTCGGTTTCCTTATTTGTAAAATGTAAACGATGCAAAAACAGTTGTTTACAGATTACTTGATACCAAGCAGAAAGGATTTAGTGTGCTGAATGTTAATATCAGTTAAGGTATAGCCAAGTCCAGTTACCACCAAAAGTAAAGAAAAAAAATCCTATTGACATCAGTGACCTTTGAATGGCCATTCACTGAGAATGGCATCTTAGAGAACATGGATAAATGGTCTGCTTTTGAGACGGTGTATGATTCTAAAACTTCCTTTGATTTCATATTTAAAGACTTGATGCAGGAAGCCAACAAAAAAGGTGACTAAAATCAAGTAAAAGCTAATCATGCAGTTCAGCAAATTTTTCATGTAGCTGTTTTCTCAACAGGCTTGAACTTTTTCACTCTCCTTTAAAAACAAAACAAAAAAATGTAGCTTAAGGTATATATGTAAGAATAACTTTCAGTTACAGTGATGATTAATGTTATTTAATTTACTTCAAAGTAAACCCAGGTGAAAAATTGGGTTCCTGCCAAGGAGGAATGTTCAGAGGTTTGGTCTAATGTGTGATCTGTCTTTTGCAACTTCATAGCAAGTGCTGTCTATGCTAATCTTTGCTGCCAGAAACTACTTGGCTCAAGGGCCTATCTGCTGGTACAGGCCGTCCCCAGGAGTAGCCCATGTTCGTACTTTCTGACATACCACTTTTTCACCTGAAGTCCTAAACTAGGCTTTAAAGTGTCAGATGCTGTGGGCAGCACATGATGCACAACATTTACTTGCAGTTTCCTTATGTGCCCATGCATGGGAAACACAGTAGCTTTGTGGATCACTGACATGGGAGAGCAGGGTGCGTATGAAACTCTGAGGAGCAAACAGTGCAGAAGAGTTACAGGCCAGGTAAACTTTCTACTATAATAAATCTACAGTTGATACCCGGAATAGACTTCTGAAATACTTGAATTGTTCTGATCTCAGGTGTAGCATTTACTTTGCCTGTATGATAGCCTTTACAGTATTCTGTCTGGTCCGTTCATTTTCACACAATGGTACAGCAGATTAAACCCCAGCCTTCGAAAAAACAGGTGTGTTTGTTACCATTTCTGCTGGAGTCAGAATTCCTTCTGTCCTGACTAAATGTCCTTCTCTGTTAGCATTTGCAGTGAATCCTCTATCATCAAATCTAAGCAACTGGGTTGGATGCAGGTGAAGGCTCTGTCTTAGCAAAGAGGTTGACAGTTGGAGACTCTGTGCTCAGTAGACAGATGCTTTTTGAAAGGATGAAGACCTTGCAGAGTTTCCTTTAGGCTGTATCCAGGGTTACTCACCAAGTGTAATCTGTAATGTCATCTTCTTTAGTCTACCTCTTACTATTCTTGATTTCTTGAGAAGAGTGTTAGTATGGGGTGGACTTTATCTGCTTTTATCAAATTACTTTTTCTGAAGAAGTTCAGCATTGTGTTTATTTATGCTAGTTTCAGGTCGGCCAGTTTGTTAACAAATGCTACTATGCAACTGATTTCTGACAGTGATGTAGGCTGTAGACTAATTCAAGTTCTAGATCACTTAGCAGTTGTTGAAATAAGAGCTCAGTTTCAGAAGGATTGCGTATCTGTTACTATAATATAAATGACAGTATTGATATTCCTTCAGAAAACAGATGCAAACCAAGGGTATTTGTTGCTGCAAGAGTAGTCTTTGCCAGACTTGTGCTTTTAGTGTAGAACAAACTTCTTGACTTTCTTTTCCAAAGATGGGTTCCAGGTCAGCCACCTGCATGGTTGTAAGTAGTTTTGAAATTCAGCAGGCAACAACTATGTTGCTTAATATAATAGGGAGTAGTTCATTCTGCTGTTTTCTGGTAATTCTTGGAGTAGTTTTATTATTCATAATTGGGTACTCCACCCATAAACCATTTTGTATTACATTACGTATTGTCCTGCTATACTTTGTAGTGGTGTTAATCTTCAATTTGATTCTAGAAATGTCTTCTAGCAAATCTTCTATTTGATTCTATATATGGCTAGAATATAGCAATGCAACTATCAAACAAGATTCCTGCTTGTCATAACAACAAGAGCAGAATAAAATAAAAAATGTTAATTAGGTGCTACATTCTCTTTCAGTGTCGTCCATCCAAAGGCCGAAAAAGAGGTTATTGCTGGTGTGTGGATAAATATGGACAGCCGCTTCCTGGATATGATGGCAAGGGAAAAGGAGATGTCCACTGCTATAACTTGGAAAGCAAGTGAGGGCTGAATGCCAAGCTCTTCTGGCATCTGTGTGTGACAGCTGGACCTAGCAGAGACCTTGGAGGGAAGTACTGCATTTTGCAAGGCGTTATGGTCTCTGCTTCCTGTCTGTCTCCTGTGGTGGCTGGGGGGATCCAGACCTCTGTGGGTTCTGCAGCTGTACCTGGCCACTGATACGTGTTGAGCTTTCTATAGAATGTGTAGGGAGCTCTGAATTCCTATGAAAACCTGCACTATTGACACCAAGAGAGAAAGAAAAACACAAGGCACTTCAGAATGGATTCAGGGAATTTCCACTGACCTTTTAAAAAATGGCTTGTGGCCAATTTGATCCTGAGAGATTCTGGTTTAAATTTGAAAGAATTCGTAGATTGAAAACTTGTAAAAATTAATAAAGCAACTATGACAATGGAAAGTAACACCCGAGGATTTAAAGGGTAGGGATTTCTTTTTTTTACAGGTCTGACTTATCTTCACGGGTAAAATGTTTTATAAAAAATGTCAAAGAACTTTTTAAGAGGCATATTTCTAAAATAAAGACATGGCTATTTTTTTCTGTAAAGTGTATTATGAATATTCTGTTAGTCTGTATTTAATATAATTGTTTTAAAATGAACTTATTTAAATATAACATAAATACCAAACTAGACAATAATTCTAGTGTATACTGTATGCAAAGAGAAGGTAAGAACACGGGATGATTTACAAATGTGTATAGTTCCATGTGCATACACACTGACCTATTCTAGATAGTAGAAATGGACTTGTGGAGTAAAGGAAGTGTTTCCAGAAGGAATTGTTTCATTATCTGAAGTAGGTACAAATACCGTGAAAAATCTTCTAAATTTTGTTTATTATTTTATTGGTATTTCTGATGTACCCATCATTGAATTATGCCACTGGAAAAATTAACAGTTGCACTGAAGCTCTCTGTAAAGCATTCATTCTTCATCCGTCCTTAGCTTCAGTTTTTGCAACAAGCCTTATGTTTTGTCTGTTTCCTTCAGGTCTCCTCATGTTAGTATAAAATGTTTATGGACAAAAAGATGCCATTACAGTACCGGCCTTTCTGTTTGCTGACTTACTTTTAAAAACTGTGTCTACTCTGTGTTGTCTTAATATACTCTAACAAAGCACACATTCACCATGAGGAACTTATGTTTTATGTTTAAAACAGTGCAGATGTGGGGACTGTGTACTTGGCTGTTGAGACCTGTGTGCTCTGTTTGTACTAAACATAATAGTTTTTTCCTTTGACTTTGATAGAAATTATTTGCCTGTATTTAAGCATAGAGTGAGAAGCACAGTTTAAATATCCAAACCACCTGCCATGACATAATGTCCTTTTAAATGGGAGATAGGTGTTTTGGTTTTATTCTAATAGGTGATGCTTTTATGTTTTTAAAAAAAAAAGGTCTTTGGCAGTTTTGCTTTTGTTTTGTTTTGGCCGATGGTTTATTGAAATTTATGGGGGGAAAAAACCAAACTGTATGACAGTGAAACCTGGTAAGGAAAGGTGGCCTGTGAAGTGTACCAGCTCTCTGGAAAGTAATGCCATACTTTGTATATGTATTTATTTATATATTTTATATAAATATCATATATATTTATATAAATATATAATATATTCTTGTATGTGTCACTATAAATGTTTGATGTCAACATAATTAAAAAAACAAACAAAAAAAAACAATTACATCATCATTGCAATTTCCTTTTGGGTTGGGAGTTTGGAGAATGAGAGCAGTACTCTCGTGTGCCTTTCCAACTATTGCAGCCAGTGGTTTTGCTGATGGATGGGAGACCGTGAGGTCAAAGAGCCTGCTCCTCTCCCACCCTGCAAGTTGCAGCAGTCCTTTTTTCATGCCAGCACTGGCAAATGTCTTGAAAATCTGATGTGGAAAGATCTGGATATACAACTTGAAGGGTCAAGATAGCAATCGCTTCAAACCAAATGTTTAAAATTTTACCTGGACGTGTATTAGCTACCCTGTTTGAATTCTTTGCATATTCCTAATCTATATCTAATGAAATGGATTCTCATCATTGTTAAAACTTAAATTTCAAACTTAACAGTAAGAATAAAGGGCGTGTGAAGTTATGCTTAGGCCAGGCTTATACAGGCTTATTGGTGGATGGTTACATTGAGCTTTGTGAGTTGAAGATTTATTGCAGTAGTTTTACTGCTACTGCAAATATAATGCCTGCGAAGATTTGTTGGCTAAACAAATGAATAAATGATGAGCTCTTCTCCTTATTTCTTTTTTTTCTTTTCTTTTGAGTTGTAAACCAGTTCATTTCAAATACATACACATGGAGAGTAAAGTTATATTTAACAGTGTTTGGTCATGTAATAGACGGTAAGTGCTGGATTCATAAAAATGAGTTATTAGTAGTTCCTTTTTTTTTTTTTTTCCATCTGTACCTCATGAGCCCTCTGAGAAAGGAAAACAACCTCTCTCGTATTTCTTGCCTGTGATTTCAAGCTACACCATTCAGAAATTGCCTGTAAGTATTCCTTAAGAGTATGATTGCTTGCACTAGTACTGGACGCTTACTGTTTTGTTCATGTTCCTGGCAGCTGGCATTCTTGTTGTTAAATATTAACTTTATTTCCTTGTATCCCTACAGGGTAAAGAAGATCAATGGCAGTTTGAATTTTTTTTTTTTTTTTTTTTTTAAATTAATTAATTAATTAATTATGAGTAGTCCTATTTCTATGAAAACAAAGGTTCAGTTCAGCAGACAAGTTGCACATCATTCAGAGGTTCTTGTCATGGCTGTGGGAGTCAGGCTGCAATTCAAGCAAGATTATTTATGGGCTACATAAACTGTGGTCAACATGGAGCAAATGTATGGGTCACTATCAGTTCAGAGGAAGATCTCTTCCTGCATGCACAAGTTAGAAACATTCCTGCAGTAAGTGCAGGAATTTTTTTGGTCACAGAAATGGAATGTAAGTACTGGAAAAATACCTGCTGTTTTGGTGCCTTTGCTGCCTTTGGCTCAGGTGCGTGTGTTTTTTTTGTTGTTGTTGTTGCTTTGTTTGTTTTTCTTCAAGTAAATGTTTTACAGCATTTTTCTTTCTTTTAAGGAGCTCTTTCAAGAATCTTGTGCAGTCCACTCTGAAGTCTCATAAAGATCCTTCTAACAGCATTATTGACACCTTAAATATTTGTGCAGGAAGGTGCACAACAAAAGATTGATGTGTGTACTGCAAATCTGGCTTTTTTTTTTTTTTTTTTTGTTCTTTTTTAGCATATTTTATTTTTATATGCTGCATGGGTACTATATGTGGCATGTATTGATGTGGAAAATATTTGTTTTAACCAGAGTAATAAATAGTTCATAAACCCTCTAATTGGCGTAAGTGCAAGTTTAAAGTTGATTGCAGGCAGCTCTATTATCTTTTGAACTATTTAATAAAGTTCCCTTTTTCAGTAGATTTGCTGTGCAGTAGTCTTGAACTCAGAATATCTCTGTTCAACTTTCTGGCATGCACACTCTTCAGGGAATATCATTAGCTATTTGTGCACAGGGAAAAGGAGGCTTCAATGAGTACCAAAACCACAGAATTAATTAGTTTTTAGTACAGTCTGGACTTTTTATGACTGAATTCCATAGAAACCTTAACACAGCATAATTCTTTATTGAACTAAACCCTAAATTTAAGTAACGGTTTTATAAATCTTTTGGGAAATCATTTTTTGGTATCTGTAGTCACTCTAAAACTGTGTAACCTGGGATGGCTCTGCAGAGATTTTACATATTAGCAGTATAAATTATAAAGTATGAAAAGTGCTGAGCAATTTTCATGGATGCCAACACATACTGGTATTCAAAATGAAATGTTATGTGAGTAGCCGCGTTATATGTGCTCCTGCTAAGCCGTTAGGAACTCTTCCTATCTGTTAATAGCAGAAGAATATGCTTTTCTTCCTACAGTAGAAAACACTTCCTCCCCTAGTCTGCTCTTTTTTTTTTTTTTTTTTTTTCTGAGCATTCTGAAAATAAGATCCAAAAACTGGTGTTGTGTTTTCCAAGGGCAAGCTTTATGGCTAGTAGCATCTTCGTAAGCATTTATACAAAACTTATGCTGCTTAAGGATGTTAAGAGAAATATTTCTGTATGTCCGGTGGGCTGGTGTACGTTCCAGCTGGGAGGCATTTAACCTGTCAGCGGGTGGTAGATTGGTGTTCGGAGTTCCAGCATGTGGGATTTGTTTGTGTTGTACACATCAGTTGAGAACATACTAAATATTTTTCTGCCAGAAGTGAAATTTCCTGATAAAATCAGTTGTTCACTGGAAGAACTTTTAGTTTTAAAATTCTATCATTTTATGTTTTATAACTTCTTGCAGTTCAGCTTTTGTGGCTATGGAAACACGTACACCTTTGTTTTTGCTTTTACTCTGTATGCATATTTAAAAACGTAAATGACTTCAAGGCTGGAAGTAGCAGAAAAAAGGAGTCCAGGTACTAGTAGAAGCAAAGGATAATGCTGCAAATCTCAGTTTATCCTTGCAGAACGCTTGTCCTGAGGTATGCGTCCTGAGTTTCCACTTCTGCTGACCTATCCAAATTCCTTGAGAGCCTTTCTCTGTCATATTGCTAATTTCACCGTGAGTGGTGATAGAAAGGCAGTAAAGTTATTGCTACAGAGAGCAGCTGAGATTTCCACTAAAAACTTCCATCAAGCTGAACAAGCTGTCATTGGGAAGGACTGTTTCCCACTGCCACGTGCAGTAGGACGTTCCAGAGGTGGGGTAGTGGAAGAGTTTAGTTATGAGAGCCAGGCTGTGTATTTCCCTAGCTTCCTGCAATTGGAGAACAGAGCTATTTTTGCCTGGTTATACCATGAGGAGAATATTCAAGGTGAAGGTGTGTTTCCTGCATCTGCTACACATCATGTAGCTTGCACCCGTTTCACTGTCTGAACTTGAAAAGCTGATCACTGCTTTACCGTGGGGGTGCCGCATGCGGAGTTCAGCCCTGAGATCTTGCTGCATATTTCCATAGCTGCTATTACCCTGCTGACAGTGACGTGCCGCTGCTCTTCTTTCCCTGCTCCCTTGCTGAAGCCAAATGGTGAGGGCTCAGCTGTTGAAGCAGCAATAAACAGAAGATGCAGGCCGTAACAAAATACAGAAGAAAGCAATGCTTGCTCCCGCAGTAATCCCACTGGAAATTGCCCCTTTCCCAGGGCCTTTGCATTAGTATACCTGCAGGTAGACTTTGCACCATAGGAGAGGAGGGGGAAATAATGGGAGATAAATAAAGCCCTTGTTTGCTGATAGACCTGTCATCAGAGCTGTTTTCCGTAGCCAGTGCTGATGTGTCTGGGCTAATGCTGTACTGTCTGATAATACATAACTAACTGGCAGTGTGCCTGTCAGATCCTGCCCTTCTCTATCCCCTCATTACTTAAATGTGGCTAGGTGATACGTGGTGAAATATCACCCTACACTTGCCTCTACTTCCCTCATTTTGCTATCATGTTATTTGTTGTACACCATCCACACAAGTCTTCAAGAAAAGCAAATGTGCCAAATGCAGTTAGGTGTTGGTTAAGATACTCATAACTCACATTTTCCTGTGCTTTTTGAGTCTCTGCCTGTTTCTCAATGCAGCCCCCAATAACTGCATGAAGTAATTGGTCCATAAAAATGAAATGTTTTCAAATAAAAAGCCTGGGACCCGTCTTTGCCCCAAGTAATTCCCCCCCAGCGCTAAACAACATTAATTTTACCTCAAAGTGATGAGCATAAGTGGCTCAGTATGACTGGACACCAATGCTAGGCAGGTATTCTTGGATAGATTTAAGGGAAAAGGTGGGTAGAAAATTTACAGAGTGCAGTGACCTCATTTCTTTGCTATGAGCGTTTTGCAGTTGGCAGTAGGCCAGCAGGAGGAGGAGTGGTTGGAACAAATCCTGCTGCAACAAATATGGCTGGGTTTTGGCAGAAGGAAGCACAGACTAGGTAGTGTTCTCAGATAACATGAACCAGACATTACAGATGCTTACCTTATTCCTTCCCACCAATTAATTTATTTCAAGTGGGGTGGAAGGACTGGAAGAGGGTGTGAAGGCAGGCAGAAAAAAATAACAGGAGGAGCAGTATATTCCCTTTGGTCATCCAGCTGCCCATCAGGTGACCTGAGCTGCTCAGATCATCCTGCAGTACCTTCTCTGTTTTCCTAGATATTCCCACAAGGATCAGCTTGCCATCACATTAGGGACTTGTACTATCCTGGATTGTGAGGTGATACGTGTTAAAAAACAAAGTGAAACAAACAAGCAACAACGACAAAAACAGCCCCACAGTGAGGCAAATAATAATTTAAAAAAAAAAAAAAAAAAAAGCAAAAGGAAAGGACAGATCTTTGATATTTTTTTCATCCTATTACTGAGACTGATAATAGCAATAATGGAAATCACAGTGCACGACACCTGTGGCCTAAACATAGGACAGACTCCTTGCAGAACTCCCAAGGGGAGAGAGAATTTGCATTCTTTGCCTCCTTGCATTAGTCCTAATCCCAGTATGCAGAAGAGTCAGGCCTAAGTCAGATGGCCCAGCCTAGAGCAGTTCATCAGAGATCTCTCCTGAGTCCTGGCAAGATGTCACACAAGGCCAGATTGCAGATAAGGAGGCACCCATCCCCTGCTGTTTTCATTAGGGTGTAAGAAAACCTTCTAAGGAATCAGTCTGTCGTACCCAAATGTTGTATGAGGCAGCTTTTTTTCCTGGTGCTAAAATTATAAGAAGAGTTCCCTAACACCCCTCCCCATTTTATGGGGAGTAATTTCTTGCAACTAGGATGGGAATTTGCCACCCTGCAATTATTAGGAGTTCACTATACTGGAAATAGACTGTACTATTAGTAATTATTAACTTGATACGCTTTTTTCCTACCTGTATCAATCCCAACAAAAAGAACCAATTTCTGCTACTTTGTGATCACCTCTGTGCAAGGCTGATGATGTGAGAACAGTCAGTGCTTTTAGTTGTGTGCTTCAGCTGGAAACATAGAATTTCCCCTCCTTTCCTCGCCATTTTCCCTTAGAAAATGTATATGACTACTGCTCAATGCTGTGGGCAAGCTTCATGAAAGCATTCTAGGATTCTGCCACAACCTGCTGTTTTTAAATTATTTTGATGCAAGTGATTACGAAGCATTTTGACACAGTGAATACTGTTTTACAATGAAGCTTTAGCCAAGTCTCATTGTAATTCATTACAGTGAAGTTTTTCAATTATTCATAATGCCAATGCTACCAACTGCCTTTGCAATACTTTTCTTGGACAGATCTCAAAGCACTTCACAAAGCAGCTCAGTAGCATATCTATAATTTCAAATCTAGGGCAGTAAGAAGTTTGTTTATTAGACTCCAATAGGAGCAGCTAACACCAGTGGGTAGATACAGTCAGCACGTTCAACAAGTACACTGTGATGCCTTAGAACTGTAATACACAGAACAGAGATCTACATGCTTGAGCTTTGCAGTTACTGCACAGCAGTTCCCTCTCCCATTTCAAATCTAAAGCTCGTCTCAATAAACACACCCTTTTTTTTTGCTGAGTTTTCTTCCAGTTAAGCTTTTAAAAATCTCCTCTCTTCTCTATACCTTTTCTCAGGGAGAGTTGGTGCAGCCTGTTACCACCTCTGGGACTTCCTAACTCCCACACCAGTTTAACTGAGTCACATCCTGCCAGCTCTGCAGGAAATGCAGCAGGAGAGACACTCCACAATTAGTGGAGGGTCCCCTCCTTTCTTGCCATCAGGCAGAAGGAGGACTGAATGGAAATGGGACCCTGCATGGAGTGACAGATGAACCCCCTTCCAGCCTCCCTCACCTTTCCAGCTGCCCTTACATCATAGGTCTGAAGTTCTGGAACTTGAAGGATGGGGAAATGAGGATGTTGATTAATCCAGGGAGTTGTCAAGGGTGAGTCAGTCAACCGATGCCTTAAGACTGCTTTTACCAAGAACAAAAGAAGGGTGATGGTTGTATGATACTCCTGTCTGAGGGAAACAGAGGGCCTGATATACTGGTTGAACCCTACTTAAAATGAAGTCTGCTGCCTATCTGGTGCCCAGGTCAGCGACATTACAAAGAAGCTCCCCGGTTTGATTTGGCCCTCCGGTTATTACTTGCTTTTGGTTGTTCACGTCAGCATTGAAGAAGCTACAGAGAGAATTTTAATGGCTAAGAAAAGGGACTGTAGGGGACTGGGTGATTAGCTGAAGGAGCAGGAGCACAGGCAGTGTTTTCCTCAATCCCTTCAAAATATCAATAGCAGGGAAAAGTACTGATAGGAACAGGAAAACCCACCTGATCAACAACACATGGCTAAGTGGCTGTTGTCATTGATGGATTTTTTTTTAAAATTATTATTATTTTTATCGTGGAGCAGCTTATACAGCACTGGGCCTGCTGGCAACAGATAACATTCATCTGTCTCAAGGAGGGAAAAGGATTCATGGCAGGGCTCATTAAGAGGGCTTTCAGCTATGTTTGAAAGGGGAAGGGGATAAAAACAGACTCCATAGAGAAGAGCCTAGGGGCAGCATCCCAGGGTTGAGAGTGAGATCAGTAGCTCAGCTGAAGTACATCTACACCAGTGCGCACAACATGGGCAGCAGACAGGAGTACCTAGAAGCCATTGTGCAGCAAGAAAACTATGACTTTGTGGGGAGCTGGTGTGGAAGAAAACTGGCCTGGCTGAACAGGGAGCTTTCACTGAGACCTCAGAAAAAAAAGAAAGTTTATCACCTCTGGAAGAAGGGGCAGGCAACTTGTGAAGAATACAAGGATGTTGCTAGGATATGCAGTGAGAAAATCAGAATGGAGAAACCCCAGATAGAATTGAATCTGGGGTTTAATCTGCCACAATACAAAATATACATAAAAGTATTAAAGAGCATCCAGAGGAATGCTACAAAGATGGTGAAGGTTCTAGAGGGGAAGACATTTGAGGAGTGGCTGAAATCCCTTGTTTGTTCAACTAGAGAAGAGAAGGCTGAGGTGAGACCTCATCATGACCTACAGCTCCTCAGGAGGGGGAGGCAGACAATGACCTCCTCTCTCTGATGAATAGCAATAGAATGACATTGAAACTGCAACAGAGGAGGTTCACGTTGTTTATCAGGAAAAGGCTCTTCACTGAGTGGATGGTCAGGCAGCAAAACAGCCTCCCCAGGGAAGTGGGTCATGGCACTGAGTTTGCCGGAGTTTAAGAAGCATCTGGACAATGCTCTCAGACATATGATCTGATATTGGGGTGGTCCTGTGTGAGTTAGACTTATTGATCCTACAGGTCCCTTCCCAATCAGGATATTCTATGATTATATAAAGAGTCAGGAGGATCCAGAAAACTATAAGCCTCAGTATTGGGGAAGGTCATAGAGCAAATTGTCTTGAGCGCAATCACACAGCATGAGTGGGACAACTGGGGTGTCAGGCCTAACCAGCAGGGGTTCATGAAAGGCAGGTCATGCTTGACCAATCTGATCTCCTTCAATGACCAGGTGACTTGCCTGGTGGATGAAGGCAATGTTGTGGACAAAGTCTTTAATAACGCCATTGTTACTATCTCCCACAGCATTCTCCTGGAGAAGCTGGCAGCTCATGGCATAGATAAATATACTCTTATCTGGATAAAAAACTGCTGGGATTGCTGGGCCCACAAAGAGATAGTGAATGGAGTTAAATCCAGCTGGTGACTAGTCACAAGTGGTGATGTCCAGGGATAGGTATAGCCAGTCTTGTTTAAAGTCTTTATTGATCATCTGGATGAGGAGATTGAGTGCACCATCACTAAATTTGAAGTTGACATGAAGTTAGGAGGAGGTGTTGATCTGCTTGAGGGTAGGAAGGCTCTACAGAGCTATCTGGATAAGTTAGATGGATGGGCAGAGGCCAGTTGTATGAGGTTGACTAGGATCAAGCGCTGGGTCTTGCACTTTGGTCAAACAATCCCATGCAACACTACTGTCTTAGGCAAAGTGTCTGAAAAGCTGTGTGGCAGAAAAGGATTCATAGTGGACATGAGCCAGCAGTGTGCAGAGGTGGCAAAGGATGCCAACAGCATCCTGGCTTGTATGAGAAGTAGCAAGGTCAGCAGCACTAAGAGGCTGAACCTCAATGAGGCTGAACCTTAAGTACTGTGTTTAGTTTTAGACCCCTTGCTACAAGACATTGAGGTCCTGGAGAGTGTCCAAAGGATGAGAAACAAAATGGATGAAGGATCTGGAACAAAAGTCTTATGAGGTGCAGATGAGAGAACTGGGATTGTTTACTCTGGAGAGCTCAGGATAGACATTATTGCTCTTTACATCTACCTCAAAGGAAATTGTAGAGGTGGAAGTTGGTCTCCCAGGTAACTTAGTTACCAGCTTCAGAAGGCTAGCACCTCTGTGCTGTACTGCAAAAAGTCAGACACTGGAGCTTTGTAGAAGAAATTATTTAATAACTCATCTTAAATAACATGATAATGTCAACATGTGAATAATTTACATTTGTGGCACAGAATATCCTGTTGTTTTGCTATATGTCCTGATGTATGTGGAAAACAGAAACAAATACTGTCCCATCATGAGCTTCAGCGTATAATCAAGGTTTAGACTTTCTTTTTTAAGAAACAGCTTGACATTGAAACAGAGGTGCCAAAGCAACATGATAAATAAACAAAACAAGTTTTAAATTAGTTCCAAAGCACGTTCCCTACTGAAAGCTATTTTTTAAAATTCCGTTTTACATCTATAAATACACAGTACAAAAATGCAAGTTTACAAACCATTTTTTTCCCAATAGACTTATGTCATTTGAAGTTTTAAGTAGCATCATTTCTCCAACGTAACATACATATATTTAAGGGCAATAATACTAACTATTTACATATAGTTATGAAATGTTTAAGAATATAAATTAGTAAGAACGCAGACAAAAACACACTCAAAATAAATAACCCAACAGCTTTACATATGAGAGCATTTCTGATATTATACAAACATAACATACAAGGCTGCAGGACTTGATCTTGCAGTTACTTGTATCTGTCAATTTTGTATCTAAGTAATGCCAGTACAGTAAAAAAGCCATTTTATGGGGCTGCCCATGAGCCTGCAACTACCTTCCTGGAATGTCTCCTGCCTGAACTTGGTTCCTGATAAGTTCAAGCTCCAAAGAGAACCTGTTGTAAATGAATGTAACTAGTACTATTCTTCTGATCTGAGGTACTGTTGGCAATCAGAGTCTCCTTTCACTTCTGGGGATCCAGGAATTTTTATTCCATTTTTTGGATAGACACACCAGCACCCAGCCGACTCTCCATCCAGTGAAGTTTCACACTAGGATTATTAAGAAAGTTAATCAAAACCCAGAATAAGCAATTGTCAGCAAAAAATTCACTACAGGATACTGCAAACAGAGGTGTTGAACAGCACTAGAACTGAAAGCTCAAGAAGTGCAGCACATGGACCCATTTTGAATACAGTGACACCTCCCTGACCTCTAACCAACACACTTGGTTAGGAAGTCTTGATTTGAGCTTAGCTACTTCAACAGCAACTACACACTTCAAACAATACGCCCAGTCCTTGCTAAGTGGTAATATAAAATAGTCATATTTTCCAGTAAGATAAACTGACGGAAAGCAGGATACGTAAGGTAGAGAGGTGAAAGCCATGGCTTGATAGGCTGACTCTTCACACACAGAGGGAAATGGGATTCTTTCTTTAGCTGGGGAGTTGAACATGTTTCTGTGTTTGCCTGGTTAGATCCCAGGTGACAATGAGTCACACGGTGGGGCCACATTCTAAAACAATGTCTTGGTGACACAGATTTATGCAAACCTACGAAATTTTTGTGTATGGCCTATGGCTACAACAGTTTGATTTAAGCTTTAGTTAATTATACAGATTTCCCTCAGTGCACTTTGTGGTGGCTTCTGTAGATATTATAATGGGTATAAGCATTATCAATAAAGTAATCTAACGGAAGTACAAATCAATATTTTTTTCAATGTAATCTCAAAGGGCTAATCTTGCTCCAGAGAGTTTTGTCACTGCAAGTGTTCTTTAATGTGAGAGCTGAGATCCTTCTGTCTCCATAGTGATTATTACTTATGCACTTAACAATACATGCAGTATGATGGATATCATGGATTAGCATTGGCTGTGAATATGCTAACAAACTGGATGCACGGAGTTTGACTTGGCCTGAGAAGAGACAGGGTCAAAATGTTTTAGAAAGGCTTTGTGTACACCTGTTCTGTGAATAAAGGAGACTTCTGCCTCCATTTTTGTCTATGCTGAGCATGCACTCACTTTTAAGAGGACTACCATCTGTTCCCACTACTAAGTATCCTATTTTCACAACCGGTTTCCAGCAGCTGCAAACTTGTGAGCTTGGGAACAGAGGGTTGTGAAAGAATTGTCAGTGCCAGATTAATTGCAATGCTGCTGTGAGCAGACAGGAAAAAAGTACATACCTGTTTGCTGTGGTAAAATCCATTCTTGGTACAGTTGGGTAAATAGAATTTGTAAATGTCCCCTCCACTTCTCTGCTGAGCCTTTGCCAATTTATACAGAGCTCTATTGAGCTCCTTCTGACAAGGTCCCTACAAGCAAACAAAAAGTGATCAATATAAAGCTAGCAAAAAGCTCTAAGTATTTATTAGTCATATAATCTGCAGCATATAACACTGATTTGCATGTAGTTCCTACATGTTCCAATAGGAGTGTGGCCAGAAAACTCTAGCGTTGCACTTAGGCTTTTGTTTTTATTCTTTGAGGTATTTTCTGTCCTCAGAAACATGACAAAGTCCTTAAATTGCTACACAAGGAAACTTAACCTGCACTGAGTAAACATATTACTACTTTGAGAGTACAGTATCTCCTATTATGGGGAACTGCAAGCTAGAAGGCTTGTGTACGTGAGGCTGGCCATGTTTTGTGGGTTGCCATGGTCCTGTGTTCTGTTGATGTACAGAGAATAGGTGCAAGACATATAGACAGTGTGAGAACAAACATCTGAATGTTATCTTTTGTGTAACACATGGCTGTTACCAGATCAGAGTGCAGAGCACTGCAGTGACTCTGAGACTCAGACCCAAAGTCCCTCAGACTGGGACTGAAGATCTGTTTGCATCATTAACTACTTTCACTATTTTCTTGCTTCTTTTTTCTTTTTCTCTTTCTTCTTTTTCTTTTCTTTCTTTTTCTTTTTCTTTTTCTTTTTCTTTTTCTTTTTCTTTTTCTTTTTTTTTTTAAGTCACTGCATTATGACTACTGCATTGACTGAACAAATATTTTTACTTGGGAGTGAAATAATTTCATCCTCTTCTTTTTAATACCTCCCCTCACATAAACTGTTCTGTTCTAATCAGTGGGCTTTTCTGTTGCTCTGGGTCAGAAAGTAGAGGTTTAGGAGACAGAATTGTAGCCAATAGCCCTCAATATATAGTAGTGCAAACTAAATGAGTGCTTCTGCTCTGGATGTGCAGAGGGATTTTTTAGTCTTTTGATTGTTCGTTTGTTTCCTTCCATTCTGTTTGTGAATATTACGAAAATAGGATTCTGTTGTGCATATATATAATTCAACGCCACACCGCATGGTTAAGCACGCTGCCTGGGACTGCGCTAAATGTGGTTCTCTGGTGCCATCAAGTGCCCACTGCTCACTGCTGCTTTGCAGTATTGAAGGTAAAAGTGTACTTTAATTGCTGAGCTTTCTGTCTTTTCGCGTGCATCTATTTGCTGGTGAACAGAAAGAAATATGTTTTGTTTTGTATTGGTGTTTCATCAATATTTGTACATAATTACTCCTTTTTATTTCACCGATCAATAGACAAACCACAAAAGCCTTTTATTTTTCTAACTAAAACAAGAAAGAAGTCTAAGATTGTAGTATGGGTTTCCAGAAATTAAGGAACCATGCAATCATCAGAGCAAGATTCAGCCTCTGCAAGGACTCTGTATAGAACATATCTGATGCCCACCTATTTTTACAGTTACTACAATTCTGCATGTTTCTCAAGCATCTTAGGAAAGCATTTCTAGAGAAGTCTGTTTGCTAGCTACCCAAAATAACAGCCGCTTGATGTTGGGGCTAGAACTGCTATTAGAGTTCCATGCACACTTTCATTTTATAGTCAGAATCAGTAGCATCTACTGAAATGGTCTCTGAAAGGCTTGCAAAAAAACCCACTCACCTGTTCTTTCCATTTCTTGAGTTCAAATGTTCTCTTTGCTTTCATGTTTTCATATACAGTGATGAAATTCCAAGGGTTGGATTTGTCCTGGTTTATGGGAAACATCAACTGATAGCTCAGCATCTGATCCTGTGTCATTTCAGAGCTTTCTAAAGGTATATCCTCAGGCTCGGTGGAATCTGGAAAGGAATTTTATTAAGGTGAATATCTACAGTGACCTTTAACACTTATTTCTCCAAAGGAAAAAGGTTAAAAAAGAAAAGAAAGAGGAAGACCTCACACACTCTCC